GCCGGCAGGGGCAGCCCCCTAGGCACTGACTTCTTCTAGAATCTGCCTTCTGTGGGTTGGGGGATGTGGGAGGTAAAATGGGACCATTTGAAAAGGCCACCATCGTTCTGGAATGCATCCCACCAAAGCAAGTGACAGCGATAGGGTCCTGAGGAATGACCGAGCAGCTCAAACACTGGGTTGAGAAGAAGAGGACAAATGACTGAGGGCCACAGCGGAGGATGTCGCCTGCCCCCAGGCAGGCCTGCTCTGTGCAGGGCATGCCTGCCCCCAGGCAAACCGAACAGTAGCCTTTCACTAGATTTCAGAGAAAGTGAATCCTTGGCCAGTACCCATCCTGGGGCAAATGCTGTTGAATGAACTGTGGTGTTTGGAACTTGCCTTTGTGGTCTCCAGCTTTTTCAAACCTCTAACCCATCAGTCTCCAAGTGTGGAAAACCAGGGAACGGCCTTGAACCGGCCTTGACCCCACTAAAGGATGGCTTCCAGACTGCCTCTTGGCTGGCTGGCTGTGACTTGGGCAGACTATGTGATGGCTGTGGCCAGGACTGCCCAGAGAAAGACCCCCAGCTTGCCAGAGAGGGAGGTTGGCATTTCTCACATCCTCACCGTGCCATAGCAGAGGGACCACAGGTTTGGAGTTGGCCAGGGGTGAGCTCCAATTTGAACTTCAGGTGTGTCAAACTCCTGCCCTCAGAGCAAGGCAGGCAGCCAGAGACAGCAAGTGTACTCGGGTTTCTGCCCACCGGGGTCCTCCTCCCTAAGAGATCCTCTACCACTAATGGTAGCTCCCAACTACTGAGTGCAGACTGTGTCACCTAGTGTCCTAGGGGGCTTTGCTGTTTACCTCTTCATCGTTACAAAAAGCCCACAGGCAGCTCAGAGTTTCAAATAATGAGCTGAGCTTCTAAGCTGCGGCTAACTCATGTGAGGCCACACAGCTCATGATTTAGGGTCAAGCCCAGGTTTGCCAACTCCAGAGCAGAGTTCCTTCCACGGTACTGGGCTGTCCTGTCCCCGTGTGGGATGCTGAGCTTGTGTCTCTCTTAGTGGCCCTCTTTGGGGCATGGTTCCTTAGCAGTGGGGACTCCTGTCTGTCCCTGACTATGCACTTTTGCTTGCCACCCTCCCTGGGCTGCTGTCCCCACTTAGGACCCTCATCAGCATCCCTCCAAAGTCAGGAACAACACCTGGCCCCCGCATCTCTGTGATGAGCAGTGAGTGGTTTAAACCCCCCTATAAACACCCCTCCCATCCAGTGCAAGTGGAAAGGTTGCTCTTCCCACCCATGGCTCTCAGAACAACAGTCAGCAAAGTGGATTTTTTCCTTCTTTCTTGTCATTACAGACCCTGCAGGTGAAAAAACCCAGGTCTGTCCACGGTTGCGGCTCGTTCCACTTAAACGGTGGAGGGGCTGGAGCACGCTGTACAGCGCCTGGTCTACCTGGTTTACTTTTACCAAAGCAAGGGGGTCGATTTGATCAATAGCCCATGGCTAGTTAGTGGAAAGACCAGGCCTAGAGCTTGGGGCTTCTGAAGCCCACGCCAGCATCTGCACCCGCACGGCTGTCCTGCCGGCCGGCCACCTCCTCCAGGGCACCTCTGTTCTCCATTCTCCCTGCTCCTCTCCAGAAGCAGCTCTGCCAGCATTCCCCTGCTCATGGCTCCCTGGTGTCTGGAGCCACTGGCCTGGCATTCCATGTGGCTGCCAAGAGCAGTTTCTTTGCACCCACTGGGCCTATTCACTGGGCCTGGCTGCTGCCCCAGGAGCATGGAAGGCATGTCCCCCCTCAGAGGCTGACAGCAATCCTAAACAAAGTCCTTAAGAAGCCGAGGAAAGGGGGAAGCCTTCCCAGAAGAAATAAAACCTGTGTGGCCTTTGGCCAGGGCCTTCTTGGGTGACTGGTACCGCAGCCCCATCCTGCCTCACAGCTTCGTACAGAGAGAGAGACCGTGATGTAGAAACAGGGAGGGAGCGAGCTCAGGAAGGCCAGGCCCTGGCCCTGGTCCCATGGGAGACAGCCCTGCACAGAGCTGGTGGGGACGGGTGGGATCAGGGCAGGAGGCAAGTGAGTGCTTAAAGGTGGCCTTAGGGCTCGAAAGTAGAGCAGTGGCTGAAAAAAGTAATTTTCTAAATAGAGAATACATTCCCATGATATAAAATTAAAAAATAGAAAATGGTATACCATGAAAGTCTTCTCTGCCAGGTGCTCCCTTCCCTGGAGACAGACAGTGTTTCCAGATCCTTCCAGAGATACTCTAGACATATGCAGAGAGGCAGAATATACACGTACATGTTATTTTGCCTTTTTTGAAACCACAAGTGGTGGCCACCGTTTCACACGGACGGCTCTGCAGCTCTTTCCTGGCTTCCTTCTCTGTCTTGGTGGCACTGAGGAGGCTTCTCATGTTCCGCAGGGAGTCGTGGCTGCCTCGCGGATGTGCCGTAATTTATTTCATTGAACCTCTGCCTCTTGATGAGCATCTGTGTCTCCAGGCTCTGCTTTAAAAGCATCACAGTAACGAATACCCAACACACTCGCCACTTAGCAATTATATCAGCATGTGAGTGGAAGAAATTCCCAGAAAGGGAATTGTTGGGTCAGGAGCACGCACCTGTGTAGCCTCCGGGTCCATGCTTCCCCTAGGCCCGTGGGAACGCCTTCGTGGGTGTGGCTTGGGCACGGTCTGAGTGGCTCTGGGGTAAGGTCCCAGACGAGGTGGGGGCTGGTTTCTACCACGCCCAGAGAGGCTGGATGCCTGTGCTGTCCCACTGTGGGCCAAAGGCCTGTTAGAGATCACTGGGACCACCGCTCCCACACCCATGAGGACCCCGGCCCCAGAGGGTTAGCCTGCGGTGCTGTCACAGTCATCAGGATGTGGAGGTGGCATGAAGGGAGCTAGCGTGTTTGCAGTGCTGCTGCGGACTCCCTGCCAGGACCATGGGAAGACATGCCACCGCCCCTGGGGGCTGAGCCCTGTGCTGTGCCCTGCTCTGCACACGAAACTACACAAAAGGCCTTCCTGCCCAGGCCCCCAGCAGAGCCCCCTGAGAGGCCTGGGCGCACCGCCAGCCTTGGCCGGTGTCTCCCTCCTCCCAGGTCCACGGCCTGTCTGGGGACCACCCCCAGCTCTCTGAAGAGCTGCTGACCCTGTCATATCCTTCCTGTGCTTCCTCCTCACGCTCCTGCCACCCAGACCTGCCTCAGAGCAGGCCTCGCTTCTCAAGACCTCTGGGAAAATTTTTATTTTTCAAAAGAGTTTGGGGCTTTGCTGTTAGGGCCTTTTATGCTTTAAGTTCCAAGTCCTGTGAAAACACAGGTAACAGAGCTTTCTACCTCCTGCTTCACCTGGAGCCGCCTCCCAAGCATCAGGCGGGGGCTTTGAGCAGGGTACTCACTTGGCAGCACTCCGTGTGGTGCAGGGTTCCCTGGAAGAGGACACCCGCGGAGGGGGAGGCCGCTGTCAGGGGAGGGAAATGGGAGCTGAAGGGGACACACATGCATCGGGGACTGGGTGGAGGAGTCTGGCACGTGGTCAGAGTGGCATGGTAGAGGACACCCAGGTGCAGGCTCTGCAGGTGACCCATAATTGTCTAGCCAGAGGTAGCAAGCGCGGCCCTTGGGCCATGTCTGCTGGCATCTTCGGTTTGACTTGCATAATTTAAGATTCATTTTTAAAATGTGTACTTATATATAAAATGTGAGATATCAGACCCAAATCCAAATTCTGCTGCCCTTGGAAAGTCAGTCTCGGCTTACACAATTGCATTAGTCTCCTCAGGCTGCTGTAACACAGTGCCATGGACTGGGTGGCCTAAAACAACAGAAATTTATTCTCACAATTCTAGAGTCTAGAAGTCCAAGATCAAGGTGTCAGAAAGGCCACATTTCCTCTGAAACCTGTAGGGGAGAATCCTTCCTTGTCTCTTCCTAGCTCCCAGGGGTTGCTGGAGTTTCTTGGTGTTCCTTGGCTGGTAGGCACGTCACTCCGGTCTCCACTTCCGTCGTTAGGTGGCCTTCTCTGTGTGTGTCAGTTTCGTGTCTCTTCTTATAAGGACGCTAGTTATACAGGATTAGGGCCCACCCTAATCTAGCAAAATGTCATCTTAACTTGATTAATCTGCATAGACTCTATTTCCAGATAAGGTCATATTCACAGGTAGGACCTCAACACATCTTTTTAGGGGACACATTTCACCCCATAACAATTATCTTATGGCGTAATCGGCTGGATGGGATCGAGGGTTGCCTGCCTCAGACAGAACCTCTGGGTTGCACGGGCCCTGTCGAAGTGGGCAACCTTCAACTGCTGGCAGATTCCTGTCCCCCGTCTCCCTGCAGTTCATCACTGACACCATTGCCCCTCCCCCCACTTCCCCCTCCCGTCTTCTGTCCTCGTAAATCTTCCTCACTTCTCAAACCCACTTGCCAGTCCCACCCCTTCTCTGAAGTCTTCTCTGGCATTTGCTTTCGCAGGGACCTCGCACGACTGTGACCTTACGGTGACAGCACTGTGCTGCCCTTTTGGATAGTAGTAGCACATCTCATCTGGGTCTTCATGTGTGTTGTCACATGACTTCTGCAGCATTGACCTTTGTCTCTATTGAATACTGTGCGCGCATCCCCGTGTCCTACCTCAGTAAATTTGGGGCCACGGCGTTGGCTCTTGGCAGTGGCTGGGAGGGGCAGGGATCAAACCACATCTGACCCCGTGGGGAAGTGGCACCTGGAGCGTGTGTGTGCGATGTCTCCAGCAGCTAAGTTCTGAACCGTGTGAACACCCCTCCACGAGGCGACCCTGCCCCAGCCCAAGTGGATGGTGAGGGCATTTCTGGATGCTGCTGATTCCAAGGGACTAGAGATACGTTTATAAGGGCATTTCCCCAACATTCAGAATCTAGTAATTGAGATTTTTGCCATGTGAGGCATCGGTCCCAGGGAGCATGGGAGCCCCCTCTGCATTTCTCGCTCTCACGGCCTGTCCTGTCCCTCCCACAGCCTCCGGCCTCTCCTCTTCTCCATCAACGCCCACCCAAGTGACCAAGCAGCACACGTTTCCTCTGGAGTCCTACAAGCACGAGCCCGAGCGGTTAGAAAATCGCATCTGTGCCTCCTCTTCCCCTCCGGACACGGGCCAGAGGTTCTGCCCGTCCTTCCAGGGTCCAGCCCGGCCTCCACCAGCATCGCCCACACACTATGCCCCCTTCAGAACCGTAAGTCCAGGCCCTCCCCGGGCAGGGGTGTGGAGGGAGGGCAGAGCCGGCTCCGAGCCCTGAGCAGGGCCAGCTGACCGTGCACAGCACGTATATTTTCTCATAAGTCACAGGCTGCAGAAACAACTGGGAGGACACGCTAGCCAAATGGAAACCAGATGACACACGTAACGTCTGGTACGTGTGGACCGTGACCAGGAAAAGTTTGGGGTTCCCTTGGCTTCTTAAAAATCACTCATTGGAAGCTTTATTTGAATTTACCTTGATTGAGATATTAAAGTAAAATGTCATAGGCAACACAAAAAAAGTAAAAAAAACCCCAGAAATTTCATTCTAGAGTTTTAAGATTTAAAGTTTGACATCATCTGACTTGAGATGCATTCTTGGCAAGAGAGTTTTTCGCAGTGGAGTGGTGGAGCAGGTGTCTCTGCAGCCATCAAGGACCAGCGGGGATGGGCTGGTGAACAGTAACACGGGGAGCTGCTGGGTTGGCGCACTGAACCTGCTGCGTTTCAGCACGAAGGGCCCTGAGCATGGAGACCCTGCCCAGCACTGCCTGTCTGGTTCACGTTAGGTACTACAGATGCCCAGTAGTCTTCCTGTGCCCAGCGAGGATACAAGAGCCATCTCACTAAAGTCACCTGTACGGATGGCACTATTTCATCCAGTTGTCATATTAGTTTTTGTGGCTGCTATGACAAACTGGGTGGCTTAAAACAGAAATTTATTGTCTCACAGTTCTGGAGACTAGAAGTCCAAAATCAAGGTGTCTGCAGGACCACACTCCCTCCAAAGCCTCTAGGGAGAATCCTTCCTGGCCTCTTCCAGCTTCTGGTGGCCCAGGCATTTCTTGGTTTGTGACCACTTCACTCCTGTCCCTGCCTCCTCTTCACATGGCCTCTGCGTCTGTGTCCAAATCTTCCTTTTTTCATGAGGAAACTAGTTATAATGGATTAGGACCACCCTAATGAGCTGATCTGAACCTGATCATATTTGCAAAGATCCTATTTCCAAATAAGGTCACATTCACAGGTACTGGGGATTCGAACTTCAACACATTTATTTAGGGGGCACAAGTCAATCCATAACAGTTGTTATCTTTTGGGAGAAGACGTGTTTCCAAATAAGGTCACATTCACAGGTACTGGGGATTCGAACTTCAACACATTTATTTAGGGGACACAAGTCAATCCATAACAGTTGTTATCTTTTGGGAGAAGACGTGCTTGCCATGCAGAGAATATACCATTCCTATTCCTGCTCATTCAATGGTTATTTTATTAAATGTATGCTTGGTGCAGTATTATGTGCCAAGGGTTAAACTGCAGGGCACTGTTTCTGCCCTCTAGGGCTTACAGAATAACACTGAGATGAAAGAGCTAAGTAAAAGTGGAAGGTGGTTTGGGGGTGATGAATGGAACAACAGCCAGCACTACCAGAAGCAGAGAAGGGAAAATCACTCTTGGGCTGATAAAGGCAACAGAGGCTTCAAGGCGGGGACACCCACAGACTGACCTGGAGTAATCCGTGACGTTTAAGTAAGAACCGAGGTGAAAGGAAAACCTACTAGAGAAGAAAATTTGCCACGGCTTGGGGCTGGGGAGGAGCATGATGTGCATCATGGAGAAGGAGGTCACACGGGTTAGGAGGGCAGGGTCCAGCAGCAGACGGGGGACAGAGACAGGAAGACGCAGGCTGCTGCAGGCAGCCCACGGGGCTCGGCCACAGAGCTGCGGCCCTGGGGGGAAGGTCAGCCACGTCCTTGGGTGCGAACGAGAAAAGAGCTGGCAAGGGTTGTGTATTCCTGGGCACTTAATAAAGATGCTTGGTTATAGAAATAACAGGACGAAAAGGAATCCAAAAGGGCGACAACGAGATCCAAGGATTACCAGAAGCAGGAAGCCACTGTTCCGCTGGGGCTGGAAGGGTGATGAGACAGGGGTGTGACCAGAGCCACCTGGTGCATGGAGACAAGCCCAGGGCCAGACATGCCTCTGAGGCACAGGGAGAGAAATCCTGGTGTCTCCCTCTCCTCCCGCCCTCCTGCCTTGGGCCAAACCTACCCAGAAGCCAATAAGCAGAGAAATCTGGGACAGAGAGACCCTGGAGATTCAGAGCAGAGCAGGAAAAGGACCTTAGAGGGAGCAGTGAGGGGAAGGACCTGCAGAGTGGACGTGGGAGATGTAAAAAGCCTCGGAACATTGGCTGCTTCTCACTGGCTAGTGATAATTGATAGAATAACCCCATTTAAGAAGAGATACTGGTTTGAAGAGAAAACAGTTATTTTGGCTTCAGATGATTTAAAGTGATGGTGACAGACACAGTTGCAGGGCTCTTCCATCATTGCATGATGTTACATGGCAGTGGTTTTGTGCTGGGGAGAAGCCCAGAGCCTTTCTCAGTTTAAATAAAAGAGAATCCAGGGGTTGCTCTCGGCTTACTGTCAGTTTTGTCCCCATCAGCGTGACTAGAAAGTGACGTTCTTAACTGTTAATACTTCACACAACTATGAAGCCCTTGGTCAAGGCCAATACGCATAGGTCCTTCCAGCCTCGCTCAGGTGGTTCTGGGGCCAGAGAGGAAAGTGTCCTTGGCTGCACGCCACACTCAGTGATCGGCATGGAGCGTGTGCCTTGTTTCAACACGCAGCTGACAGCGTGAGTGTGACAGTAGATTTCAGCAATGATCCACATGTCATGAATGGATAAACAAGATGTGTTGTATCCATGCAATGGAATATTAGCCTTAAAAAGGAAGGAAATTCTGACACCTGCTGCAACGTGTGAGCCTTGAGGACACTATGCTAAGTGAAATAAGCCAGTCACAAAGGGACAAACACTGCTTGATCCCACTTATATGAGGTTTCTAGAGTCATCACATTCATGGAGACAGAAAGTAGAGAGGTGGTGGCCAGGGGCTGGGGGGAGGGGGAATGGGGAGTCAGTGTTTAATGGGGAGCGTTTCAGCTGGAAAGATGAAGTCCTGGAGACAGACGGGGTGACGGCTGCACGACGGTGTGAACGTGCTTAATGTCACTGAACTGTATGCTTAAAAATGGTTCAGATGGTAAGTTTTATGTTATGTATATTTGACCACAATAGAAGGACTGGGATTCAGTCAAGACTACAATGTTTATGTAGTTTGAGCTTCAGAAAATCAGAGCAATACCCAAGTTTCCCCACCTACATTCTGAAACATGCGTCAAGAATTGGAAGAGAGTGTCCCCAGTCCTTGGCATTGCCATCGGCCCTTAATGCCACTTATAAGTGTTGTCACCCAAGGCCTCTGCGGGCTGCCTTCTCCTGGCCTTCGTCTCTTCTACGTTCAGCAGCCCTCGGCAGTGGGGGAGGTGGTAGTTTCAAATTCATATAAAATCTCTTCGTTTGTAATTGGATTTTGTCAAATGTCTTTAGCTTATGTGTTAGTTCCTTAAGAGCTTGGCTGATTTCGTTCATTTTTCTTTTTTTTTTGTCTTTTATCTTTTTCCGTGTCCGGCAACGGATCGCAACCCTCAGTGTTGCCCCTGCACCGGACCGGGGACCGGCAACGGGATCGCAACCCTCGGTGTTGCTCCCGTGCCTCGCTCAGCCAGTGAGCGGGAACCGGTCTGTATGTGGGATCCGAACCCTCGGCGGGAGCGCCGCCGCACTTCCCAAGCAGCGCACTTATCCAGTGCGCCGCTGGGCCGGCCCTCGTTCATTTTTCTACCAGCATAATATTCACGGAGGAATGTGAGTTGCTAAAGACTTCTAAAGGCCTGAAATATTCAGATATCACTTACCTCCGCCTTTTGGAATAAAAAGATACTTTTCTGTAAACATTGACCATGAAGATCATTTTTATAAAATCTGTTCTCATGAATTTTACTCTAAAATTGGAGAGGGGCTATTAGACTTTAGTAAACAGCACTCACTTTATCATTTATTTGTTCAGCAAATACTAAGCAACTGCTGTGCGCCAAAACCTGTGCTGGCCTGGGTGACAGGATGACAGATACGCGAGTCGTACTCAGAGGACAGGCACGATGTCTGTTTTACTCCCCACTTGATCAACAGCACTGTGCATCGAACATAGGAGGATTTCAGTAAATATCTACTAATTGAACAAAGGAAGGAGTTTTTGTCTATTTGGAGGTACAGACAGGCAAATCATCACAGCAGAGTATGATAGAACGTGTTTTGTTATTACGGAAGGAAACACCCCGTCCCTTCTTGGTGAGTGGAAGAGCCAATCCCAGAGAAAGTAGAATTTTTTCCAGCAGGGAGCAGCAGTAATCAGCTTTGCATCTCAGGATGGTCCCTCTAGCTGTGGAAATTAGATTGGATGGGGTGGAACGGGAGTCCAGGTGA